CCCCAAAACCCCAAAACCCCAAAACCCCTGCATGAAGGATTTATTGTGAAATTGAGAAAATTTACATAGAAGATTTAGATAATTTAATAAGAAATAAATATTTTTGAGTAAATCATAATAAATGCAAGATTTTGAAGCTCTCCTGTTCTAGATTAATGAGTCTGACGATTAAAATACTCTTACCTTTCATAAGAAGCCTACCAAAGGAGCCTCTTCTGGAAGATTTATAATAAAATCATCTTAAGTGGAGCCAAATCCCTAGAACTAACAACAGAATTCAAGTAATATAAAGTCTGGAGGGAATTCGATTATATTTACATCAAGCAACGAGAGACCTTTACTTGGTAGTGAAATGTAGGACAAACATCTTAAAACTCCTGAAATAAAATTCAGCAATTAATTCAATCCATTCAATATTTAAACTAACCATTATAGAGGTGAAAGATCTAATTAATAAGGTATACAGACAATAAATGATCAAAATATAAAAAAAGAGTAAAATCAGAATTAGGAATACTTATACTAAGGTTCACCTTAAAAGAAAATAAACGTAAGGAATATACAGAAAACTACTGAAACATATCATGATCAATCTCTATCTCAAAAAAACATTAATAAAATAAATCCTAATTAATCTGAATAGTCACCCCTTGGCATAATTGAAGTAATGAAGCTTGATTCTACAGATTCCAGACCAAATAATCATCAGAATGATGTATTAGATAAAAGTAATTGTTAGATTTATTATATTAAATTTTTAGATCTTGAGAATAGTTATGAGAACAAATCAATAAATTAAGAATAGATATAACAATACCCTCAAGTAGGAAGAAAAAGTAAGTTGAGACTCTAAAACCGGATATCTCTGAGCTCTCATTCAGAGTCAGATAGTCTGAGTAATATAAAGAATCATCAAAATAAAAGAGTAAATTACTAAAGTACAAGAAAGATAAACAAAAAATCCCTTTAACTTCATCGCAACAAACATATGCATTAGAGGCGCAATTCCAGAAGTCTTGTTTTCAAATCAAGGTATGTTCATATTATTATATTTATGATCTAGATTCAAGTCATAGTTTCTTGATTATAATGAACAATATATGACTAAGATACATTAATTGAAAGATTAAGCCCTAGATGATGATGATGATGAAGGTGATTTTGATTAGTAGACATTTAGCAATTAATCTATTATAAGTGAGTTAGAGGCTAGTGGTAATTACAGAATTGATAGTATATAATAATATTCTCTGAAATCTGTAAGTAATAGAATTATCAATGATTAAGGGTCATATACACCATCTCATTAGCTCAAAGAATTAAAAGACTAGTACTTAGATGACATTATAAACGATAAGTTGGAACTTGTTTATGATTCTGCAGTTGATTAAGATTAATAACAGAAAGATTAATTCCTAAGGAATATTAAGGAATCATTATAACCTAAGCAAGATATAGAATAGTCCTTTAATGCAAACGACCAAATCAATTAGTGCAATAACATTTTAGATGATAGTTTCTTTGAGAATGTTAGAGATAACTCAAATTCCTTAAAACAATACAGAAAAAGAGCATCATCTGGATCAGAGTTAATGAGAACAGACTCTAATCAATAGCAGTAGTTACGATCTCATCTGATAGGTTAATGTCTCCTAAATAAAAGCATTTCAGACTTCAACTCCAGCAATGTATCAAGAGTGCTGCCTCTATTTTAGAGAAATCAGTCATCTAATAAGCATATAAGAAACAGAAAAGACTCTATTTAGCTTTTATCTATATTTCCATCGCCAGCCAAACTATCTAAAAGATTTGATTCAGATCTTCAAAATGAAATCAATGCTGCTGCATCCAATATCAAACCACCAGCATTTGATCATCAAGACGATAAAATAGTTAATGATAAATTTATAAATGTTCAAAACTTTGCAAAAGGAATTGATGATAATAATGAAGTGCATGAAAGAACAGATGAGGAAGACTTAAACACCATTAAGCTTTCTCGAAACTAGAGAATAGACTCACAAGAAACAAATGAGTTAAGTGAGTGTATAAAAACTCTTAACCATGATAATTATAATCATATATTAAAGCTTTGCCAAGAAATATCGAACAAGTAGTAGCAGTAATAGTTAAATCAATCTGCCACTTACAACAATTCTAGGCCTTAACTCAGGAAAACTGATGAAATAGAAAATTTCAAACGAAATACTATGCAAATAGTTCCTCCCTAGAATAGTGATAATGCCTCTATGATGATGAGAGATGAGGCGTCAAATGATGAGGATGAAAAGGTCTCTATTTAGGGAAGGTTTTAAATCAAATACCAAAATAGTATGGATTAATCTCATAACACTTCGATTCACAAGAGTTAATTCCATGAGATGAGTCCTAAATAAATAGTAGCAGATCATCTCAAAAAGAAAATATCAGAGGCCAAAGCAGCCAACTAACTTCTACAATTGCAAGAAATGATGAGACTCGAGACTATAACAAATCAAGATTAATCGGAATTTATTGGATCTAGGGAATCTCAGAATACTGAGGATGATGTTTCAATCTCTAAGGCTACTTCTTCCTCTTAAGCTACCAAATAAACGAAAAGAAATCAAAATAATAAATAGCTAAAATTTCAGTAATCAAAGATGAAATCTACAAATTAAAGCTAATAACTTCTCTTGCAACAATAAAATGCAGCAAAGAAGTAAAGAAATAGTCAATGCAATCCTATATTTCAAACTCCCAGTGACTTTAAAGCTTAAACTTAACCTTTAAATAGTAATATAACATATTAGAATCCTAATCCTTACCAGTAATAACTCTATCCTCAATAGTTGCCACCAGAGTATATTCAAAGTAATCCAAATCAAAGAATAAATGAAAATTACCCAATGAATCAAACTCCCAATAATCATCATAATCCAAGCAGTTTCCAAATGGGTTCTTTATAGCAAAATATAAATCCCTCATTCTTTCCAACTTCTGCTCCCTAGCACTATAATCAACAAATACCTTACTTTGCTTTTGACTAAGGCTTGTCCTAATAGTACTAAATTATGATGTAGTAATAACTAGAGTATAGCAGTAGATAATTTCAAATGATGCTCAATAATCATCAGGTATATATGAAGCAAACATTTGACTTACTAAAACATAATAGTTTATAGAATCTTTAGGAGTAGTAGCAATAAAAATAAATAGATAGAATTGAGGAAAAAATTGATAAAATTATTCAAGAAATCAATAAATTTAAGAAGACTAAAAATAAGAAAAGATTATGAAATCCTTCGCATTCCTTTCAGGATAGCAAATATATTTAATCTTTATTTCGATTATTAATTTTTCCAAATTCAAAGCTACTTTTTAGTATGGGGTTTTGGGGTTTTGGGGTTGGG